CAATGGCTGCGGGCCTGGCGCGCCCTCCGACGCCGAGGTGCTGCACCTCTGCCGCAGCCTCGAGGTGGGCACCGTCATGACTTTGTTCTACTCCAAGAAGTCGCAGCGGCCCGAGCGGAAGACCTTCCAGGTCAAGTTGGAGACTCGGCAGATCACGTGGAGCCGCGGCGCCGACAAGATCGAGGGGGCCAGTAAGTGTGCCCCCTGCCCAGGGCCTGCTGTGCGCGCAGGGGGGACCGGGGATTCGTGCCCGGCTGCCCCGCGCCCCGGCCCGCCACCGGAGCGACTTAGGCAAACTTTACGGCCTTCCCCACACCCTCCGGGCCCCGCCCCCGCCCCGGCGGTCACCCTGGGTGGGGGGCGTCCGGGTCCTCAGTCACCTGACAGGACACCCCTTACCCCAACCAGGGGGAGCGTTCTAGCACTTTGTCCAGAGGCCTAAAACTCCTAGCGAGTTGGAGATCAGGGGAGTAGGCATCGGGTCCCCCCCACACCGGGTATGGTCGTGTTCATGGAGGGGAGGGGAGCCAAGGCAGTGCCCCCACCCAGTTCCTGAACTTGGGGCCAGACAAAGACGGTCGCCACTCACCACCCTTTCTCCAAAAAGAGCAGTCTTGGTGAAACTCTTTTGGGCCCCCAGGCTGGTCTGTTATTTGCAAAGGAACCTTGGGGTTCTCTCAGTAGAACTTAGCCAGATGTAGGGGTAGGGCTGGTTTTGGAACAGAGCCAGCCTACTCATCTCCCTCCTGGGAGGAGGAGTAAGGTGGTCCTGTTTGGTTTGGAAAAGCCTAAGAGAAGGCAGTGGTTACTTTTCCCCACTGCTGCTTTTGTTCTGAAACTGAATTTTGGAGGTCTGTGTGGGTGGGCAGACACCCAAAGCCAGGGCGGGGGGTCTTGGTAAAGAGCTTGCCCTTGAAAGCACGTTCTTAAAAGCTTGGCTTCAAAAAGGCCAGCCTCAGTGCCTTGGAGTCGGGTACTCTTTACAAGAGTGGGCAGCCAGTTTGGGGTCTTTGTGTCCTCTGTCCTGTGGTTGCAGGGAGCCAGGAGCAGCTACTCTTGATTTCCTGCCTCTTTGCCCTCTCAGGCCTGTGCACAGCTGCTTTTGCACAAGTCTCAGTGGGAAGAGGGAGTTGGGGGACTTTGAAAAAACCCCAGATCTATCAGAGTGTTATTGCACTTAGAGCATGCGTGCCTGTGCTGTGGCCGGATGGGCACCCAGCTCTGCCCTCCATTCCCCGCCTCCAAGTGTGAGAGATGATGTGTCTGCAACCCCATGCTGTGGGTTGCTTCCTGCAAGACACCCCCTCACCCCCCCAGACTAATGTTAGAGCTGGATCAGAACTAGGTCCATGTGGAGTAGGGTGGTCAGGAAGTGACACCCTCGGGGAAAGTCCTACAGACCTTCAGCATGGTGTATATGCTTGTAGGTGGGTGAGGAGGTTGGGAGGAAGGGAGGTCTTGTGGTGAGGAAGCTATCCTCAACTACAAACCAGATCTGATACAACTGCTGAACTTAGAAATGGCAGCTGCCTTCCTCTGTGTCCCCATTGGCCCTGTCAGCCATTGGGTGAAAATGTTAGTGATTTGAGAGACTGGATTTCAAAGTAGAGAAAGGACAGATATTGCTGAGAGTTGAGAGAGTCCTGGGAGCATCACCCAGGTGTGTCAGACTCCAGGCACATGGCCCCTTCCTTGATTCTGTGGTGCTCCCTGTGAATTTTTGGTACTAGCTGGAGGTTCCCAGGGTAACAGGCTGCATTTCAAACCATTTATGTGACCAGCAGGCAATAACAAGGTTGGATTTGAAGCCCGTGTATTAGTTGTGTGTCCCCCCGTGAGTTACTTATCTTCTCTGAGCCTTAGTTTTTCTCATCTGTAAAGTGGGAGTAATAATATATTCACAATATACTGTATGGTTGCTATGAAGATTAAATGAGAAAATTGATGTAAAACATCTAGCACAGCATCTGGCACATTAATGTTTAATAAGTGTGAGCTGTTAATAATAACAATAGTAGATTTTGACTGCCCTCCTAGACCCTGGACTGTGAATGTTGCAGAGGTAGAATGTGGCTGCAGGAGAGGGTGAGGGTGCAGGAAGGAGGGAGGATGGGGGCCAGACCGAATAAACATTCACCTAGATCACTGCCCTGAGTCCTGGCCCGAGGGAGTGTCATCCTGTGCACCAAAAAGGTGGTGGGTTCGATTCCCAGGCAGGGCACATACCCAGGTTGTGGGTTTGATTTCCAGTCAGGGTGCATATGGGAAGCAACCGATTGATGTTTTTGTCTCGCATTGATATTTCTCTCTCTCCCTTTCTCTCTAAAATCAATTTAAAAAACCAAAAACATATCCTCGGGTGAGGATTTAAAAAAAAAAAAAAATTTTTTTTTTTAGATCACTACCCAGAAAAGGGGAAGAAATGTTGTTTGTTGTTTTTTATTTTTTTGCCCACCTACCTACCATGTAGAAGTGTGTAGAGTAAGTATATGGAGATTGCACATCTGATGCCTGACTTTTTTGTTTGTAAGTTGGGGCCTGAGCAGAAGAAAGAGGTGTAGAAAGGGAAGTATCTAGTCCATGATGTCTCAGCTCTTTGGGGGATGGAGGCGGGAATGCTGAGGGACCTGATAACCCCGGCCTGCCAAGGGTAGGTCAACCAGATCTCATTTATTAGCTGGGATTTGAGAGGCCTGGAGCATAAGTAAAAGGTGTAGAAGAGGCCCTGGTCCTTTTATTTTGGAGGCCTGAATTGAATGAGTGGTTAAAAAGGCTAGTATACACTTGTGTGGGGTTCAGATCTTCTAAATGGAGTCCCCTACTGAAGCTGGCCCACTTCTGCCCACTCTTGGGTACACCTCATTAATGGGTTCTGATCCCTGCAGCCCCACTCTGCAGACTCTGAGGAAGATTGGACTGCCAGCTGGGTCCCCTGCCACCTGGCCTCTTGCCCAGGTGCCTCAGGTGTCTGGCCTTTTCCTGCCGTCCTTGCCAGGATACCATGCAGTGCCTGTAGCTGGGCCAAAGAGAGAGAGAGACATTTGTTACCCTCCGGGTGTCCTTGGCCCTAAAGGAGCAGTGCTGCGGTTCAGGGAAAGTACACAGCACTCACGTATAAGACCTCGTTCTGGCCTAGCGGTGCCCTCTCACTTTTCCACGTGTGAAGTAGGGCTAGCACCTGCTGGTTTCTAGGGTGATAGTTTGTCTCAAAAGGGGTAAAGAAGTACTTTGGTGCCCGTTGTCATGGTGGTATGACAGGAACCAGGGTGATGTTTAGCGCTTTTTTTTGCATATACTGACATAAGTGAATATAAAGCAGTTACAGACTTCCTGCTAAAGGTTATGGAGACTTTACCATGTTTTCTTGGCTAATCCTCACAAAGGCCCTAGGGAGTACCATTCCATTTTACAGATAAGGGAGTGGAAATACAGGGAGTGAATTACATCATGGGTGATTGTGCTGTTGTGGGACAGCCTCAGCTGGACCCAGCTCTCTAGGCAGTGGCTGGCTGGCCAATCCCAAGGGGACTCTAAGCCCTAGGGCTGTTCTGCAAATGGGCCTCAGGCCCTTGTCCCTGTGATTTGTATTGCTCTGAGTCTGAACCTTTGTGCTCAGACTTTAGGTGACAGACAGCCTCTCCCTCTCTAGGCTCTGGCTGCATGCTTTCCTTCTGGTATCTTCTGGGGCAAGATGGTTCAATGAAGGGTCATTGTGGGCAAGTGACCCAGATGGAGGCTCCATGGAGAGCTCTGCTTGCCAGCCAAGCACATCTGTGGGGATTTTGGAGCCCTAGACTTTTGTCTTTGATTCTTCTGGAGCTGATCTTCTAGATCAGGGGTGGGTAATGTCTGGCCCACTGGACGTTGGTATGGACCTGCCAAGGCAACTGTAGGCGGGACTTAAAATTCAATAAATCTAGGAGCTTTTTTCATAGCTAATTTTTAAGTTGATAATTTTGTATGGCCCATGAATGATGTTATACATTTCCAGTGGCTCTTGGGAGAAAAAAGGTTCCCCACACCTATTCTAGATGTTAGGCCCCCTTGTAGTGAATGAAAACAGGTTCTTGCCCTGAGGGAAACTAAAATAGACAGTGACAATTCCGAGTAGTATCTTTGATGACAAGGGGTGGAGGGTGGCAGAAGAAAGCAAACAGCCTGGACAAGGAAGTCAGGCTCAGAGAGATGATGTTGGGACAGCTGTCCGGAGCTTGACTTCTGTGGCTGTGAGACTGGTGAGGAAACAGACCATGAGGCCTGCACTGAAAGCTAGGCCCAAGGTACCTGCTCAGGCTAGGTGTCATCAGAGTTTTTCTTTGTACTGGCTGCCTGCTGCCAGTGGGAGAGGGGTAAGAGCACGTGTCCGGATCTCCAGAGCGAACCATCCCTGCCTGTGTGTTTCCTGTCTGACTGTAGTTTTTCCAGGGGAAGTCAGACCTCTTAGTGTTTCCTTAGCACCCCAGGTTTACCCTGATGTGTGGGTTTCAGACCAGCCCTGCGAGGCCCCCCTGCCCATCTGGGGCTTTCTCTTTCCTATGAACCTAGGAAAGGGGCCTGCTGCACTGCTGGCCGGAGGAGCTGAGCACACACCCAACACCTCTAGCTTCACCGTGTGTGCGTACACAGGTGCACAGGCTTGAGTCACCAGTTAGAGATCTTGGCCACTAGCCTTGTTTTGGGTAGCCCTTTGGAATGAGGGGCATTTATTTGTTCAATAAGCATTATTTGAGCACCTCCTATTTTTCCACTGAGGGTTCAAAAGATGAGTAAGACGTGGTCTTTGTCATTGAGGAACTCCCAGACCCTTGGAGAAGACAGACTCGAGAACATGTAATTATAACCCGAGTGTTACGCACTATGATAAAGGTCTGTACTGAGAGCTCTGCATAGCAAGATGGGGCTGAGAGGGGAGAGCCAGGAGAGGTGACCTGTGAACTAGGCTTTGAGTGATTGGGGAACTTGCCTGTGCCCTGGCTGAGGCACCTGGGGTCATATGTCAGGGTCAGGAATGCTTTAGGTATGGTAGACATGAGGTTGGGGTGATGGGGGCAGCTCAGGGAGGACTGCTGTTTGCTGTGCCCACGGGCTACATGTATATAGTCTGTCCCGTGGACAGTGGGACTGTCTCATGCTTGCCTGGGAGAAGTTGAGGAGGGAGACCAGGATGCTGCTGCAGTTTGCAGGAGACAGC